GATTATTGATTGAAGACATTAAAATGATAGGCGTCGGAGGAACCACAATGTTTAAACAATTATTCTTTATATAATTTTGTTTCTCTCATCATTTTCTTTTTATTTTTCTTGTTTGTTGTAATTAATTAATTAATTAGCCAGAAGTTGGTAAGCAGTGTTAATTAGTTGACGTAACTAATCATTATGCATGTTTCCATTTTAATTAAATTCGTGACAACACACGTCAAGTGATTCTTAATTAGTATTTTTATAATTACACTAAAGCAAAAATGTCACACCCTATCATTTCATTTGCTTGCCATTATATTGCTTCATTCACCCATTAACTATTTCAAACGCATGCTCAGAATATTTCATTTTTATAAATAATCTTTAGAATTGTGAGTTAATTATATATGACTATATGACCATGATACATATATCTTAAATTTTTAGTACCTTTTCTAAAATACAAATATATAATAGGATACTTTATGCAGGATTTTATTAAAAACTAAATGTACACTTATGCTTATAATAATATTTCCAAGGACGATTGAAATTAATTATAAAATCAGTAGATGCATGTCAGTTCAATTGAAAGCTAATCAATGATTGGATAGATTTGATGAAGGTTAGGTTTACACACTAAGCATGTTGATATATCATAATATTTATTTATACCATTACTGTTAGATCAAACGATCCATTAGTTCCTAATGTTGATGCTTATAGCTAAACCTGCGTACCTAACATATCTTTAAATCAGATTATATATAGGTGATTAAAGGCACTCATTAATTCCAAAATATTATTATAAGCCGGACGGATTTTTTTTATATTTAATTAGCTCACGGTTTGTTGAATAGAAATTGGATAAGTAGTTAAGTTGATTTTGTTTTGGATTATTAAAAAATTGCTATAATTTAATTATCATATCAAAAATCGTATTCTAATACAAGAATGTGACATTTGTTAGGTTATACCATAATGTTATGAGATGGATAGATGGATTAATTATGGGGAAATGTTCAATACGCGGCTTATCAAAATGCGTAACGAACAAAAAATCAAATATTAAAAATAAAAAATTAAATTGTTCAGTAAAATTAGCTTAATATGTAAGGTACATAATGATTGAGGATAGTGATCAATACCAAATTTTTATAGTATAATACTGCCCGTCATTCTCACTTGTCTACTTCCAATCATTATTTAAAGATATCACTTAATTTAGTGAACATTATATCACAAAGCAATAAAGATTAATTCACATTATAAGAAGTCAACTCATATTTCTCCTCAGGCCAAAAAAAAAAAGAGGTCATATTTCTCCTATTTCATTTATAAATCTATTTTAACACTTTTGTATTTAAATTACAAAAACTTTAAAATTAATTGGTCTGTTTAAAAATTAAAGAAATTTACTAATTACCCATATTAAATATATTCTTAAAAAAATTCCAAATTTTTTTACCCCCTCTCCAATTCTAAACACAATATTCTTCTAAATATTGGTAGGATTAAAAAAAAAAAGAGTAGTTAAAAGGGTTGTTTGTAATTAATATGTATAAAATTTATGATGCTTTTTCAAAAATACCCCTGTTATTTAATAATTAGAATTTACTGTGCAGAGAAAAAAATGCTCTCTAATGATTAATATATGAGAAACAAGAGAGAAATTGAATAATCTATTTAAAACCAGGCTAAAACTCTCAATTAGATGTTATATTTGAAATTGGAGGGAGCACATCAATATTTTTTTGCCTTATGTAATGGTAAAAGTTAATCAATGATTGGATAGATTTGATTAATTTTTTTCAAAATTTATCATAATTAAATATAATGATATGTACAATTTTGAATAATTTTTTATGATATAATTATTTATTAGGGATATATTTGAAAACATCTATTAATTCTTCTCAAAACTATGAAAATGATGTTATAAAAAGAAATACTCCTCCGGTCCTTAATATAGAATCTAATTGTTGAATTAGTTTTGGTCCTAAATATAAGAGTCATTTATCATATATATCAATTTCTCTAAATTATCTATATGGATACTCTTTCAACCATAATTAAGTAAAATAGGAAGAGGGGATATTAAGAAAGACGATTATGGTATTTTAAGAAAAACGTGTCTCATTTCTTATAATTAACTAACTTATCCAACTTCTTTAATTTAATCAAATTATTTAAATAGGTCTTATATCAAGGACCGGAAGAATAATACTATTCCTCTCAAAACAGAGTTTTTACAAAAATGGATGAAAAGAAAGTGTAGATACTCCTCCGATCCTAAATACAAGACTCTTATATAAGGTCTTGTATTTAGAATTGGAGGATATTCATTTTTATATGAACACTAATATTAATAATTATAATGAGGTGGTTATTATCTCTTTTTTTTTTGGCGGAAAATATGATAGGATGTCATTTTCTGGTTGGTTAAAGAATATAGTTAAAGTGGCGGGGAGGGTGATAGGATCCGTTTCCAAAGAGAGAGTGATTATGCTGTTTGGGATCGGTCCTTTATTTAGTGGGGCAGTGGTCCCCACTACCTGCCTTAGGTGGCGCTTGTGGGCGCCGCTGTGTTTGTTGTTTGTGCCTCCCTCCCCTCACTTTTACCCCAAGCCCCAACACCCATGCCTCCTTCTTCATCGTGTCCCTCGTCTTTTTTGCTATCTTTCTTTTGTATAGGGAAAATTAGGAAGCAGGATTAATAATAAAATTGAATCTAACTAAAAAAAAATTAATTTTCACAACGTGATAAATTAGTATTTAAATTTTTAAAAATTTTTTCATATTAAATGTTTGATAGTGCCTCAATTTAAATTACTTCTAATAAAAAAATACTAGTTGTGTGTAGGAAAAAAAGGGGATAAAAAATTTTAAATGATTGAGATGTTTGAGAAAAAAAAAGGATTTAGAAATATTTAGGAACAATATAAAATAAAACGTGCAGAAAACATGAGATAAATTTTTGTTTTGGCCAAAAACATAAGCTAAAATTCAAAACATGAAAAATTCTTCTATTTATTTGATATATTTCAAATAATGCTTACTTAATATTTAAAATTACTCGTTCGGTCTTTAATTTAAAACCTATTTAATTAATTTGATTCAATTAAAAAATTAGATAAGTTTCTTAATTGTAAGAAATATAACATGTCATATTTCTATATCAATAGTGATAGTCTAGAAAAAATTGATAAATATGAGAAATAAGTCTTATACTACCTCCAGTTTTAATAAAGACCTTATTTGACTTTTATTTTGGTCTTAAATATAAGAACCCAATTCATTTTGTCTCTCGTATTTATATTTTTTTTTTCAAGATAATCCTTCTAACAATGATAATTCTAACCAACACACTTAATTAGCAAGGATATTTTAGGAAAGACAATACATATTTATTACAAATAACTAACTTAACTTCTTTCCTTAATCTTCTCAAATTAATCAACTAACTCTTATAATTAATATCAAAAATAATATTTAGGATTAAAATCAACTTAACAATTAAATTATATATTACAACTGTGCAAGTATTATTCACGTCATGCTCAACCCCGGAGAAAGTGCTTCCCGCTTGGAAAAGGGGGGTTGATAATCCTGGTTATGTTTTGTATCATCATCATCACCAATATCCAAAACGCGGTCATCATAGACCATAATAGTGTAGGTTTTATTGTTCATAAATTTGTTTGGAATTTATTTCAATAAAATGGTTTTTATTATTTATGTTAAACTAATTTTCAAATAATGCTATCAAAATAAAAAAAATAGTTTTAAATAATTATGCGTTTCATGGGAAAGAGAAATATTTAAAGAAGTATTACATAAAACAACATAGAAAAAGATATAAATCTTGGTGTGCCACACAAAACCTTGCTTGTATAGTTTATTTGAGTTTAAATCATAATGTAGATGAAAACAAAAATGCGGATGACAAATTTTTTTAAAAAAATTTTATACAACGATTTTAATGTAAAAGTATTAAAAATTTTAAAAATCAAAAAATGGGCATGCAGCCCAAAACCCATTTTATCTTAGAAGAGTTACAATAAAATCCCAAAAAAAAAAAAATTACTAAAAAATCTTAATAGCAATCTAAACAATCTATAATGACTAATAACAGGTTTTAGAGTAAAAAATGACAACTTCCGAAACTTATTTTGTAATATTTTTTTTACCTTATTGTAATTCTCCCTTTTATTTGTGTCTCTTATAGGTTTAAAAAAAAAATCCTTTGTCTCTGTTCACTATATTCTATATTTGCAAGATCAAAATGCTAATATAAATTCTCTTCCCTTAAGAAACATCTGGAATATGTATACAATTAGAAGGAGCCGCCTCCTTTGTGGTCTATAGATGTTGATACAAGCACACATAAATGTTGATGCAAATATATAGAATATAGAAAAAAAAGTTAGTCCTTCTTAACCAACACACCTATTTTCTCTCACTGTTTTTTTTTTTGGACCATTATTTAATTTTTCAGGTGAAATCTATTAAATAAGTTATCATAAATATTTATTTACCTCTGTTTCAAAATATAATACATGTTTACCTGATAACTTAATTGTTTTAATTTTTTAATAATGAAAAAAGATAAAAAATTATAATAACTATCTACCACCCTTTTATCTCTTCATTCTCCACCTTCATTCCCTTCTCAGCCATAAATTAGCGAATCACGTGTGTGTTGTCAACCTTGGTATGCTTTCTTGGTCAAACCTTCCTCTTCTCGTACACACTCACAACAATTTTATATTCTCATTATATTTATATAATTAATATTTAAAATTAAACGTCAATTAAAATTCTTTTATATTAAAAAAAAGTGACTATCTGGGTCTTCCCATGATCATCTAAGACTGTCATCAATAATTATAAAGACCCTTTTCAAGGACGCCTTCTCACTCCGAAACCTCCTTTCTTCTTCTCGCCTTCTTCCTCCTTTTCTCTATTTATACCTCTCTTCTCTCTGTATTATTGCTTATGCAGACTCTGAGATGGAGCTGGTTTGAGCTTGGGAGATCATGCTTCAAAGCCTTCTGAAACTTCCAGCCTTCTGGGATTAGGCTTCACCACTTTGTCCATTGGTTCTTTCTGTACCAAAGCATCAAATCAACAACAAGAAAGAAGAACCAGAAGAAAAAGAAGCAAAAAAGCAAAAGGGAAACCAGAGCATAGAAGACCATGAAGATAGACCTGAATATGTTCAGCTTGATCTTCTCCCTCACACCCCAGTCGCTGTTTCTCGTACTAACCCACCTTCCCAAATCTCATTCCATGGCCTCCTTCTGAAAATGGTCAGCACCCACTTGTTAAAGCTTCCAAAAAATGGTTCTTTGACGGTTTAATCTCTGTTTTTGAGACTGAAGGCTCTGTTTTTGTCGTGCAGGCAGTTTTTCTAGGGGCATGGATATGAATAGATTGCCGCCGCCGGCGGCTGCGGAGGAGGATGAGGCGGCGATGTCGTCGTCTCCGAACAGCGCTGCATCGTCGTTTCAGATGGATCTCAGTGTGTTTAACAGAGGAGGGAGTAGTCTTAGTGGCTGTAAGAGAGATTATGACGGAGAGTTATATTATGATCAAAGGGCTGGTTCTTCAAGAGCAAGCGACGAAGATGACAACGTTGGTAGTACGAGGAAGAAGCTAAGGCTGTCCAAGGAACAATCTGCTTTTCTCGAGGAGAGCTTCAAA